TTTCCTAACAAATATCAAACCCTACTTGAAGATGACAATAATATAGTGCATTTAAAGCAGTCTGTCCAACAAGTGAACCGAACACGTAATGATTTTACAATGATGACTAATTAGTCACGCTACTGCGGTCAGGGATACTGATATCATACATTCATGCATAGACTGCTAGCTACATTGACATTAAGCATGTGATTTCCATTCGTCAGTATATAGTTCGATAGATTGAACTCTCGAATATATGCACGATATTCCATTTAATTTCGTTATCTGAATAAAAGCTGTACTTAGTTAAGAAATGAAGTTTTCGAGATGCTTAGGACGAGTCGCGTATTTCCATGTTGCGACTTTCTAATCGGCTTCCTTATGACCGATACAAACGTATTTCACGTCTTCCTAAAATATGCAAAACGCAGCGGTAGACTTCGACCCTGGAACCGGTTTTTAATATGGTAACTTACATTACATTTCTTAACAAGAACCCAGTTTAAGGAATTGCAAACACTCCACAAGGGCCACTGCTTTTTCACCCCGCGCTGCTTTGGACCATCTTCAGTCGGCAGCGGCGGTGCAGCAAACGCTGCTGCAGCAAACGCAGCATCCGTCGTTCGCTGGTCTCTGCGGCCTTACAAAAAGCTGAACTCCTGGGACATGTAACCCCTAAATTCCTTAACCCCGAAACCCTAAGCCCCTTACACCCCTAAACCCTTAAGGGGACCCTTAGAAATTCTTAAACGAACCCCTTGAAGGAACTAGACCCTAAACCCCTCAAACCCCTTATAAAGCCCTAAACTCCTTAAGCCCCTAAACCCCTCAAGCCCCCTAAATCCAATAGACCCCTACCCTATACCATTATAAAGGAACCGTAAAGGAACCCTTAGACCCCTAACCTTAAACGCCTAGACCCCTACCCTATACCCTTTTTAAGGAACCGTAAAGGAACCCTTACAAACCCCTAAACCCTCCCTAACTTCGGCCTTGCAGAGCTCGAACTCTGGCCAGCCGCGCAGGATGGACCCCGTCATCTTGAAGGTGTACATGCTGCCAGCCTGGGTAGGAGTCTTGGGTTTCAGGGTTTAGGGTTTTATAGGGGTTTTGGGTTTAAGGGTTTAGGGTTTAGGGTTTTGGGTTTGAGGGTTGAGGGTTGAAGGTTTAGGGTTTCGGGTCTAAGGGCTTTAGGGCTTTAGGGCTTTAGGGTTTGAGGCTGTAGGGTTTCGGGGTTTAGGCTTTGTTGTAAGGGACTCAAGGTTGGAAGTTACCAGAAGGAGTGATCTGTTATAGACCCTCTGTTATGCAGGCATTTCCTGAAGTCCTGAACACCACGAACAGAACTTTAATCTGAACCCTTAGACGCGAACACCCTATAAGCCCTAAACCCCCTAGACCCCATAAACCCCTAGACCGCTGAACTCTTAAGGGAACCCTTAAACCCCTAAACGCTCAAACTCCTTAATACCTAAACGCCTTAAACCCTTAAACCTCTAAACCCCCTACGTCATTGATCCCTAAGCCCTAAGCCCCTCAAAACACGTATAACCCCGAAACCATCACTTTGCAACCCAGCAAACGAGGCTGAAGTTCCGCTTGTAGACGGCGGCACCATGCCTGGTTCCGCGTTGGGGCTATATTAGAAATGATCACTCTTCATCCTTATTGGGATTTATTATAACAAAAATGCAAAATTGTAGCCAACAAGGACCCAGATGCTCTGGGTTCAGCAGTTCCCAGTTCAGCCTGCATCTTTTGGGGTTTCCATTAGGTTCTTGGGGCTTAGGGTTCTTGGGGACTTTTTTGGGTTTCTTAGGGCTTAGGGTTCTTAGAGCTCTTGGGGATTCTTAGGGTGCTTAGGGTTTAATGGGTTAGGGTTTGTTAGGGTTTAGGGTTCTTGGGGTTTCTTGGAGCTTCTTCGGGTTTCAGGGTTTTGGGTTTCTTATGGTTTAGGACTCAAGGGGTCAAGGGTTCAGGGCCTGAAAGAAAGAAGAAACCAAACACAACCGCGACAGAACGTGCTGGGCTTTCAGGTTGAGGTTTCTACGAATTTGTGGCTTCAGGCTTTAGGGGTTTAGGGGTTTAGGGTTTAGGATTCCGCGGTTTCGGGGTTCCTGGACTTTCGGGGTTGAGGGTTAGGCCCCGGCTTCAGAGCGCGTGGGTTGCCAGGCCTTTTTTCGTCGACGTCGTCTCCAAGTGCCTCCGCAGCCAAGGTAGCACGCACGGTTTAGGGTTTAGGGTTTGGGGTTTGGGGTTTAGGGTTTAGGGGTTACGAATCGTAACTGATTGAAGTAGCGGTTGTAGCATCTTGTAACACTCATGGCAGTCAAAGTAATCGAACTTTCCAGCGACCAGCCTTCTTCAAGGATTCGTCACGGGAGGCAGCGCGGAGAGATACGCAACCATTAACCTTAGCCAGCATGCACTGGACAAGAAACACAGGACAAACCACTTGCAAAGCCGCCCTAAGGTTGCCATTTCCCTCTCAAGATGATCCGAGATGCGTGGAGAAAACCTGCCACGTTTCTGGTGAGCCTGAGATGTCAAAACGAGGGACGGGAGAGAAAACACAGTTCCTGTGGCTTCCTGAAGATATCTTATATACTATATACACAATACCTTATCTGCATAATATGAGCTTATGTTGGATGATATACTGTATTCTATTCGATAGTGCTATAGTATAATAGTCCCCAGAACCCCGTTCTGACTATAGAGGCCCCGGCCCTGAAAGTAGGCCTTCCGGAAACCCTTGGGGGAGCCAAAGAGTAAGCGCGAAAGAGAAATCCATTCAAGGAGCCCTAGTCTTAAAGGAACCCTGAAAGCAAGCCGTTTAGAAACCCTTTCAAAAGAACCCTAAACCCTAAACCCTCAATCCCTAAACCCTAAATCCCTAAAACCCTAAACCCCAAACCTTAAAGGGAACCCTAATGGAGGGACCTTGTTTACAGTTAGAATGGGGTTTCGGGGCCCGGAAAAACCATACGTATAATCAGGAACCCCCCCCCCCAAATACTGTTGATGATATAAACACTGCATTACCTGAAGGACCCCAGACTATGGGCATTACGGAATATATTCCTCATTATGGGGCAATGCAGGATTTCTATAGCCTTGAATTCATGAAAGGTCCCTGTAGATCATCCCAAGCGACTCCGCAGGAAGCTCGCTGAGACCAGGCGCGCCCTGGCTCTTGAACGTCACGGCTTCTGCCTGAACGGGCTGGGTGGAGTCTAGGGCTTAGGGGTTTAGAGTTTAGGGTCTATAGGGGTTTAGGGTCATGGGGCTTTGGGATTTGGGCGTTTAGAGGCTTGTTCTCCAACGACCAACGCGGTGTATAGCATAGAGGACGAAAGCTACACAGTAGAAGGAGCACGAGCAGAACATGCGCCTGACTGCGTCGTCAAGGCAAGAGAACGAAACACAACGAGACCACAGTGTCATGGGCTCTTCGCTCTATAGACTCTAGACATGACCAGGGCAATCCGGCCTCCTCCTCGTCCGAGCACACAGTCGATGGTGTTAACATCATCCTGCAGCTCTTCCCCCCACGATCGGGTCTGGCAAAGTGCGCGCACAAACGCACACCCGGCCTGGTTGGATCAGTTGCCTTTCTTGGCGTGCACAGAAAGGCATTAGGACCCAGCCTCGCATCTCGCATCGCTTCAACAGAGCTTTATATGCGTGGGTCTGTCGATCTTGCAAATGTGGCCCTGGCCCAACACACTCGGCTGTATCCTCCTCGTTCTGGTCCTCGCTGTTCTTCAAACTGCTGCCAACGGTGACCTCAAATCTAACACCATTTGGGCAATCACAGCACTATATACAAAATGGCAAAGGGTGAGGAATCCCACCTCTTCTTCGACGACCGTGTTGGCCTGTCCGAGGATGCAAGACACATGTTTCCGACGAGGTGTCAGGTATGATATTAGTACTATAGTACTGCAATAATGAAATATTCAATAATTTTCCAATCTCATATTCGAATATGAAAAGCTTACAGTGTGATAGTATACTCTTGTACGTAAAAGCAATTGAATTATATAAGTATAGCACAGTAGATCCGAGAACATTCTAGTATTACGGCTGATGATATAAATCCTGCAGGACCCAGAGTAAGGAATCTACCATACTTCCCTTAGCTTAGGGCCCTTAAAGGTAATGCTAAGTAAGGATTTCTATCATCCACCGTATGGCCTCGCAGCAGCTCAAGTTTCCTGTCAACAAGTCAACGGCAATGCGACCTCGGAGCGCTTCCAGGGGAAGGCTGAGCTTCTTTCGGGTTTAGGGTTTGGGGTTTAAGTAGGGCTTAGGGTTCAGGACTTAGGGTTTTTAGGTGGGGTTTAGGCTTTAGGACTTAGATGGATTTAGGGTTTAGGGCTCAGGATTTTTGTTGGGTCTGGGTTTCGGGTTTCAGGAAGCTGTTCTCTGGGCGCAGGGCACGAGCTGGCAAGCTGGGAGAATACGTCTCCCCAAGCTTCCATGGCGCCGCCAGGGCCTACACCGGCGCCGGCACACGTGGCAAATGGGAACCCATGGATCCTGCAAATCTCTCTCTAACTGCTTGCTGAAGGGTCTGTTGCAGCGGATGAATTTTCAGGTAGAGCTTTGTGTCGTTGTGGGTCTGTGAAATCCAGCGTGTGCGGCAAGGCGGCAAGACTACTCTATCAGAGCTCCAACTTCTGCGTGTCGAGTGTGTATTTGCAATTATTAGTCACTTCAGACTATAAGGAAGGCATCCGTCGACAAAAGTCAGGGATGCTGATTGAGACGGATCTGTATCACTTCTCACCCCACCCTAATATAGATCAAGAACGCATGGATCCCCAAAGGTGCTACATGGAGCCCTGTCTGGCCTGCGAAGCCGAATCCCGGCTACCTCCCTAAAAAACAATAAAAATAAATGCAACAAGGGCTCAGTCACCTGGTCCTACCTGAGTTGAAATGCTGCATGTACCCGAACCGTCGGCCCAGAACTGGAACTGCTTTCAGAGCTGTATCGAAACCAACAACATCGATGGCCAGAGTGGCACCGACGAGCAGTCATGAGGTTATCCAGACGATGATGATGGTGATGATGCTGAAGATGCCAATGATCATGATGACAGAAATGATGGTGACGATGGTGATGATGATGATGGTGACGATGACTTGAGATCTCGCCCTGGGCCCCACGAGTTGACATCAAATCTGGCAGCCCTCAGCCCTCAGCAGCCCTCAACCCGAGAACCCCGGACCGCATACAGCAAAGCCCGCACACCTTTCACTCGAAACGTCTTGAACCCAAACCCTAGCTAGTTAGGAAAACACTGGCTCATGGGTACTATTGTGGGTAATATTGTAGGTGCCATTAAAATTTCTACCATGGGCACCATTGGTTCCGGCCTAAACCGTGACCCACTGGCGCGTCCCCGCCGCTCCTTTTTCTCGCACGTGCTTTGCCGCGCGGTTGCCGAGCCGCCTGCAAGACTCGAGCTGCTCTTATGGTCTAGTGGTGTATTACAGTATAGTATAGTATAGTAAAGTATAGTATAGTATAGTATAGTATGGTTTAGGGTTTAGGGTGTAAGGTATAGTATAGTATATTGATGGTACATTGTTAGTATCTTACAGCATGTTACGTGGTTTGATACAATAGCTTGAATAAGGCTGTATCCGACAATGTTAACAACATCAATAATTACAATGACAGCAATACTATGACAAAATGTTAACAACGGCAATGACAATAATAATAGTAATATTATATCGCAATAATAATAAAGAGGAAATTCAACAATGACAACAATAACAGCAGTAGAAGCACAATGTAAACACACGAATAATAGTAACAATAAGAATAATATTGATAATCGTAGTTATAGTATTGGCTTCTTGGGCTGAATATGAAGATCCCCATTACAATGTTTGTTAATGACGGAAGGTGGGGTTGGAGTTTAGAGCCGAGGGTTGAAAGTTCTGGATTTAGGGTTCCCTAAACCCTTAACCCTAAACCATAATAAACCCTAAACTCTAAACCCTAAGCCCTAGGCCTGACCCTTTTGGGAATTCAAACACTGACCCTGCCTTCGCCAACTACTCCATGATACATATTCATACACTCGTCACGTATATATTATGCGTAGAGGTACATGTGTGTGTGTGTGTGCGTGTGTGTGAAGGTGCATGCTTTGGCATATGTGGAGCTAATATTGCAGAGGAATCTCTACACTTTACACTTCAGGCTCCAAGTCCGGACCACTCATGCAAACTCCAGGGAGGTACCTTGGCTTTTCACCATGGGACCTTTCTGGCTTTTGCTTAAATCGAAGATGCAAGAAGCTGCTGTGCCTACCTTGGGGGGTATGCCGACTGATCAGCCCGGAATTTCGAGGGTTGAACAGCACGCAGAGAGCTTGTGCATCTGAAACCCTCCCCTTAAACGTCCGTCGAGTCCGTCGATGACGGACGACCAAAAAACCTACCTCGAAATCGATTGCCTGGAAAGGACCTTGTAATCGGCAACCGAAAAGGAACTACCATGGAGGGTGTGCCAAACAAGTTGCGGAGACTTCAGCTCCGCGCATCGCAGGCTGTCCGTATCTACACGGTCAGAACGATCTTCCCCATGGCCTTGTCAGACAGTTTCATATTGGCGATGGGGAAGCTACAAAGGGTTTCGACATGTTTCGACCTGCAAAAGACCTGCTATCCCCTTCTGTTCGATTTCTTTCATGGCCTTGCCAGACATTTGAACTTTGATGGCTTCCTGGATTTCCGTCAAACTCTTGAACTTCGTAGTCGCTGTGGATTTGATGATGCCGCTGTCCACGAGCTTGGCGCAAGAGGCCATTACGCCGCCCACCATCTCAGGATTCGCATCGAACATGGCACGCCCGAACCTGAGGGGAATTAAACCTCTTCTGTTGCCCACCTCTATCCGACGAACTTCTTTCAAGCTTCCAGCAAGCTTCCAGCATGGGGATGGGGAACTACATTCAACCAGCCTAAGACATCGAATGGATGCTTGCATCCACAGACCCAGGACACATCGGTTTAAGATTCCCTCACGAAGTCTTACGAAATCTGCGAAGCAGACTCAGATGATGAACCTTTCTGAACAAGGCTTGCTGTTGACATCTTTCGTAAGACTCATTTCCTGGGTTTAGTTGTTCACACCCCTTTTTGAACGCCATGCACATGAACGTGTGCACCAAGGACTGTCGCTTCATCCACATCGTTTGGAAGTCAACTGTTTCGAGATGCTCGCGGTTGGCAAAGAAGGTGATGGCAATTTTGCCGTCCACGCTCAACCTTGCGCTGCTGTAGCGGGCATTGCTAACAGGAACAAGGTTGCTGAGCTTCACTACTGACAACCATAATGCCATCGCCACCTGCCACGTAATGATAGCATGCTGGCTACCTGCACAAGAATGCCCACAGTCTTCTTCGAATCGCAGGATCACTGAGAGACATCTACAGCGTGAAATTCTGTCATGTGTAACCCTTGGGCGACATGTCTGGACCTTTACCTCGTTCACCCTACGCCCAGGAGCACATCAAAGTAGATAACACCATCTGATGCTGCAAGCATAAATGCCAAAACTTCATTAGCTTCAAACCTTCGAGCCCTATAGCCGCAAGGATTGCTGTGAAAATCCTAGTCTGAAAATGTCCATGCCAAGTTCTAGTGCGTGCTACCAGAGTATCATCGCAGATGAAATTCAAGCTAATGCTACGGCGTCTAGATAGTACATGATTCGATTGCAATAAACCTCTATAGATCTATGTATGCACGATGGTACCTGTAGTACCGTACCTACGGTGGCATATGGTTCTCTTCGTATGCAAGAACCGGACAACCTGCACAAAGCCAGGAAGCAGCTGGATCAACTCGCCGAGACGATCATTTTCATGGGCGTTGAAGAGGTAGTCCACAGTAGGATAGCCAGCCTGAGGATGATTGGCTTGGTCTTTCTGCATATATATATATGCATACATATA